TTGAGCATATAGTGCTGGACCTACAGACCAATCAGTACACAGCGAGTGATGTGTTCAACATCACACCGGTCGCTTTTACTTCCCAGGACTTTACCTGGTACCTTTTTAAGACTAAGTCAAGGTCATTTTCAAAATAAGTCTGGCTCCTTTCTGATTTGAACCCACGACCTTTGGATTTGCAGGCGAGCATCTAGCCACTACACTTTGGCCGCTTCCAGTGGAGCTATGAAAATGTTATTTAAAAAAAAAAAAAACTAAGAATACTCAGCACACATCAGCTTTACAAATCACAATATAATGTTAAGATATACATTATATTTCATCATGAATGAGAACAATGGATAATGAAACAAAGCTGCAGCATATATTAATATTTAGCAACTATTTCACAATATGAAAACAGTGGGTATAGAATTATCTCATACAGTTAGTTAATTTCATTTTCACTGCAGCTGTTTCAGAAAAATTTAGACACACTGTTAATATACAGTGTTTGAATAAAAATTATTTTTTTTTTTCGAACAAACAAAACCACTGATGTAAAAGTAGATATGTATATTTAATGCAGACTGCCTTGCATTTCACTGTATGATTTATTCTATTTTACCAAACCCATCATACTCAAAATCTATTGCAACTCTGGGAAAAAGATTTGACATCACAGCATTAAGGACAGGTCTATATTAGCTCCCTCCTCCTTCTTAACAGCCAGCGAAGTGTCTCCACATTGAGCGTACCTGTTCATGAACTTGTGGGTATTGGATAGCTAGCCATCATGAATTTGTGGGTATTGGATAGCTAGCCATTGTGAATTTGTGGGTATTGGATAGCTAGCCATCATGAATTTGTGGGTATTGGATAGCTAGCCATTGTGAATTTGTGGGTATTGGATAGCTAGCCATCATGAAGTTGTGGGTATTGGATAGCTAGCCATCATGAAGTTGTGGGTATTGGATAGCTAGCCATCATGAATTTGTGGGTATTGGATAGCTAGCCATTGTGAATTTGTGGGTATTGGATAGCTAGCCATCATGAATTTGTGGGTATTGGATAGCTAGCCATTGTGAATTTGTGGGTATTGGATAGCTAGCCATCGTGAAATTGTGGGTATTGGTCAGCTAGCCATGGTGAATTTGTGGGTATTAGATAGCTAGCCATCATGAATTTGTGGGTATTGGATAGCTAGCCATCATGAATCTGTGGGTATTGGATAGCTAGCCATCATGAATCTGTGGGTATTGGATAGCTAGCCATCGTGAATTTGTCAAATGCTTGTCTTGCGTTTTCCCTGAGCTTTTTATCTCTGAAATCACCACCATTATAGCGCCATACCACCGCAGGTCCTCGGATTACCAGTTGCTGCTGACTGACTGATCAGTTCCCTACACCTCTGTCAGTCAGATGCAATGGACTGAAGGCTTGTATGTTTGAGGCCTGTTCTTTCAGTCAATTTCTGTACCCAGCTCTGGAACTAGTAGTAATGAACTCAAGCCCAGCTCAGTCCATCTACACACTTGAGCACCTTTCACTAATGCTTGGTTAGGCTGGTCCACGTTGCTCAAGGTTACAGGGGTGTCCCGGTCTACTGCTGTAAACTGCACTCTCTCGTGGGACCTAGGTTCAGTGTGCGGGGGAGGGAGTTGGGGCCAGTGGTCGCCTGTAGGAGCATTGACAAAGCTGACGTCCCTGCCACTTACACCTGCGTATCTTACAGGTTAAGGTGGAGACTGAATGTCTGATCACAGTGTACTGGCTGGACTCTATCAATCATAAATCTGGCCAAGGCTGGGCCTGAGTTCATTACATGTACCCCAGCTCTTTGGTTTGATTCTTGTCCTTTTTCCGTCTTCTGAACCCTGCAGTAATACTGGCATGTTATATACATCTTTAATTTTTATCTAGTAGTGAGTAAATTGTTATCCTTCTCTAAAATAGAGCACAAAGGGGATATAGCCATATATTGTTTCAATTAAATGCGAGGTAACATAATTCATGCATGAAGTTTGCATAATAGTGGTTCCATTGGTTTTACTTTCTCTAACCAGCCAAACAAATCCTTCCGTCAAGCAAGGAATGAGGAATTTAGTGTCAAACGATGCAGCATGAGTACACCTTCAATCATAGGGGTCATGAGAATACAGAAATATCATAAAAAATTGGACCACCAGAGAACCAGAGAGACACCAGGTGTACAATACCAAAACAAGCAAATGTCACTTCAGTAGTGGGGAAAAAATGGCAAACAGGGGAAGACCCCAGCCCATCAGTAGAACTGCAGTGATAACGGGGTAAAATCTAGTTTTATCCCAAAGAGCAAACTGTCACAGAAGCCTGTGTACACAATACTGAAAACTTTTTTATTCAATGCATGTACAAGTGTAATTCCTCTAACACAGACATCCAGGCTATCAGCAGAACTGCAGTGGAAAATGACACAGCCAGTTTGGTCTTCAAAAAAAAAAAAAAAAAGCAGAATGTCACACTATCCCTTGTATACAAAGCTGAAAACTTTTTAAAAAAATGTTTCTTCAATTCATGCATGCAAAAAGTGTAGTTCATCTAGCAACAGATGCACTCAGCCGATCAACTGTCACAAAGAAAAGAGCAAGTTTTTGTCTTAAAGAGCAGAATGTCTCAGTTGCCTTCGTGTCCAATACTGAACCCTTGCTGACCCAAACAACACACCATATATGCTCAGCTTATGTCTATATGTACCAACACAACACAGGATGTGTTTTATTTATTTCACATTTGGTCTGGGTATGCAACTGGCCAAATGTTTCAAATAAAGCACAGTATATATATCTTTGAAAGCCATACACTGATGCCAATTTCACCGTGATTATTGTGCCAAACTGGGTTTCAATTCTGAAACTATCTGGGACTGAAAGATTTAAGCCTTTAAGAAAAACATAAAAGTTTGTTCCTTCATTCAGTGCATGAAAAAAATTTAGTCTCTCCAGCAAACAGATGCAGTACAAAGAAGGTGATCTTAGAGGTAAACAAAACTAAGACGCAGTACAAAGAAGGTGATCTTAGAGGTAAACAAAACTAAGACGCAGTACAAAGAAGGTGATCTTAGAGGTAAACAAAACTAAGATGCAGTACAAAGAAGACGATCTTAGAGGTAAACAAAACTAAGACGCAGTACATAGAAGATGATCTTAGAGGTAAACAAAACTAAAACACAGTACAAGAAGATGATCTTAGAGGTAAACAAAACTAAGACGCAGTACAAGAGAATCTTAGAGGTAAACAAAACTAAGATCAGTTCTTAGAGGTAAACAAAACTAAGACGCAGTACAAAGAAGGTGATCTTAGAGGTAAACAAAACTAAGACGCAGTACAAAGAAGATGATCTTAGAGGTAAACAAAACTAAGACGCAGTACAAAGAAGATGATCTTAGAGGTAAACAAAACTAAGACGCAGTAAAAAGAAGGTGATCTTAGAGGTAAACAAAACTAAGACGCAGTACATAGAAGATGATCTTAGAGGTAAACGCAGTACAAAAGAAGATGTGATGCAGTACAAAGAAGACGATCTTAGAGGTAAACAAAACTAAGACGCAGTACACAGAAGATGATCTTAGAGGCAAACAAAACTAAGACGCAGTACAAAGAAGACGATCTTAGAGGTAAACAAAACTAAGACGCAGTACAAAGAAGATGATCTTAGAGGTAAACAAAACTAAGACGCAGTACATAGAAGGTTATCTTAGAGGTAAACAAAACTAAGACGCAGTACAAAGAAGATGATCTTAGAGGTAAACAAAAATATTCATATGGGGAACCTTTAAAGCCATAGAAACATTATATATGATAAACAGACAGACTTGTATTGATCAGCACTCACAGAAAGAAGTAGAACAATAGAAGGACACACTAGACAGCATAAAAATCAAATGCCTTAGTTACCACATCAGGAATCAAACCTGTCTTCTCTAAATGACAACAGCGCCTCACTGCAGAAACAAGTGTACTAAGACGCATGACCAACTAGCATTCACTGGGGTACAGAAAGTTGTGGCCAGAGCTACTGTGACACAAGCTAACTGACAGTGGAAAAGAAGCTGACTTCTCATCCAAGTCAAAAAGTACTGGATGAAGAAATAGAACACAATGCGGCAGTCGGTACCCCAACATCTGCACATAAATATCCCGAAAAGATATCAAACCACACAAAATGAACCAGCCAGCTTCACATTCTCACAAACACAAAAAACAAGTGAACCTGCGGCTAGTCATGTCATCAGCACATGACATGAACATACGATACCACAAATACAAACAAGAATACATAAATCACTTATTTTAAGTATCTCAGAGAAATCACATGTCTGTCTGGCTAGCTTAATCTCTGACATGTGTGTGACCTCTTGAAATAAATACTAGCCTGTGAACTGCAAGGGCTGTAACTCAAAAATATTAGATAAAACTGTTGAATGTCAAAGCAGAAACATAGTTACTCACTGCTCCCAGTGTAAAATACATTTTTGCATTTTGGCTGGCTTAAAGGATATGGATACGCAACAAGAGAAAGACACTTGGGAGTTATGCCCCATGTGGATCCAGCCCTACCTAGAGTCTAAACAATATAAAGAAGCCTTCTATTGCACTTGTTCAATGATACAGTTTATAATACTGTGGGCATGCTTTATTTGCCAGAAGTTAGACTCTTTCTTCCTCCTTTTATAGAGATCAAACAGGGAAAATAACTGTGTTTTTGTTAACAACAAAATAGCCTAAAAATTTGCCTAATAATAGATTCACAATTTATACTGTCAAACATATCATAGTTCTCCTTATACACAATTTCTCTCAGCAAAATCTCATGAACAATCACATTCTCAAGCCAAAATCTCATGAACAAACATATTTTCAAGCCAAAATCTCATGAACAAACAAATTTTCAAGCCAAAATCTCATTACACACACATACTCAGGCCTAAACCTCATGTACAAACACATTCTCAGGCCCTAAATATCATGTACACACATATTCACAAGCCAAACTTGGGAGTCCTGCGGGGGGTGGAAGCAGGTGTGCCGGGATCCCTTTGACCAGGTGTTACAATCTTGGAACTGTAGCAACAAAAACCAAATATAAATATAAGTATGCAATAAAAACAAAGTGCCAACTTTCACAGTTACAAATGAGACAGAATTGATTAGGAGTTAGTTTGTTAGTCATAGTTCCTTATCCATGGCAAACAGAAAACCCCACTATTGCTCCATTCCTTTGCCAGTAAGAACTACACAAAACACTTATCCCTGTCATGCTTGAAGAAAAAAAGCCTGAACAGATTACAGTCCTGGCAAATCCAACAGTATACACACTTAAATGCACTAGGCAGCCACCAGAAGTGCCAACACCACCAGTCACCCACATGGATTGCAGTCCATATTGTTGATGGAAACAGCAATCACAATAAATCAGCCGTTGCACACACATTACTGCATAAGACACTACCAGCTCTGTGGTATCAGGCCACTTGCTATTTTATAAATATGCAGTTACGACCAAAATCACACAGAGCACATTCAAAAAGCATTCCACATGAAATCCACAGCTCACAGTGTTGCAACAGACACTGGGTAATAGAACCAAGTATGGGGGTCCCCTATCTGGGGAAACTGCATCAACAAACCATGGCTAGAAGAAAGTAACACTCCAATGTTTTTAACGGATGGGCCACCTATCCACCACACTGGACTAAAAGCCTAGAATTTACTGTGGTTATCATGATGTATTGGAAATCCCATAACTGACAACTCTAAGGATGTGTGATATGTCAGTCATTCACATTTATGAGTCATAGCTGAACCAGTTCTCTTTCTCACTTGCATAGCAGCTAGTTGCAAGTCGTGTAGTCATGAATTACAATTTTCGTAGAGAAGTTATTATAAAAGAGGTATTCAATATTTGCGTGTGGCTTCTTAAAATATTTAGACAGTTTTAGACTGACTCTAGTGCACTTCAATATGTGCAACATTTGTAGCTCCGGTGATGTCTAGACGGTGTTCAGTCTCCAGCCACGTCTTCTAAATCGTGCCCAGAGTTACAGCTGCAGCAACGACCCGTTATTTTATGTGCTGGATTTTCCTTATCTTCTCAGCGCCATTTTAAGCCTCATGGTTACACAAAAACTTTAAACTTTTCGGAACATTTTAAGATGTCACCTGTGTCCATTCATTACTTCTTTTAAAATAACAATTTAAAATCCTGGTAACCATTCTTGATGACTCTGTACTTACCTTAGTCACCCAAAGGCATGACATAGGGCCCTTAAGTTAACTTTCCTTCCTTACAACATGAATATTTAACAAAGTTATGCATTCTGGCATACACACCTGGATCCCCATTCCTCTTCTTCTTTTTCCATTTTTTATGCCTCAATGGAGCAGAGGCCCTCAACTCAAGTCATCCTATCTTTTGCCACAATGTGTAACTCATCCCATGTCCTCCCCTATATTTATTTGTCCTTTCACTCTCTAATTCCCTCCTCTGTGCATTTTTTTGGTTTAGCTTTATTTATTTTTTTTTGTCACTGGGAGTTCCAGGGCAAAGACATTCTAGTTATATATAGTTATGTTAGGTTTTCTCAACGTGTGTCCTATCCAGTGGCAGCATGTTTTTGGTTTTTTTTTGCATCACCTGATTCACTGGCATTTTTAAAGTTCATGTCCATCCTTATTAGTGTACCAAAATTTATAAACTGAAATAAGACCCTCATACTGTGGACTGAAATGTAGCACTTATTAATAAACAGTCTCAGTGCAATGATAATCACAATTCTTCTTCCTATAGTCTGTGTGGCATTGATAGTCTTGTCTATTCACAACCTTCTGACTCATGTGCTTTCAATCACTTCTAACACAGATGATCCTCCATGCCACAATGTCAAACTGTTCAGCATCTTCTCTCTCTGTCTCCCTCTGCCGCTTTCCGCTTCCAATTTCCCTACCATCATGAGGTACTTGTTTTCTCCTTCTCATGATGTGACCAAAGAATGTAGGTTGTTTCCTTCTGATTTGGGCAATAGGTTCTATTTGCGAGTCAGCCTTTTTCCAAGACATCATCATTACCTTTTTTTTTTTAAATGTGTCTAGGGTATTCTCATCATTTGTTTATAAAACCATGTTTCCACCACTTCCAAATAACTTTTTACTAATTGTCCACCTGTCCATAATTAACTTCTGTATATCAGGATAGGTCAGCTATGTGGCTAAGCCGATGCGAACGCTTCGTAATGCTGGGGTGCCTGGTTCGATCCCAGCTGCGGGCCATGCGCCTTGCGTTGGTTTCAACAGTGGTATCAGGGTGCCGACTTTCCAAAAAGCAATGGCAAACTACTGGATGTAAATTTGCCTAGAGAAACCAAACAACAGCCAGGGGCTGCTGGGGTTGGTTCTGCAACGTCCTGTAAAGGATACGCAACTAACCTTATATCAGGACAGAATTTATACAGCTCTTGAGAATTCTCTTTTTTTCATCTCAAATGACAAAGAAAGATTGCAAAGGATATTGTTCCTCTGGTAAAATGCTGTGAACAAGATTACAAAAACACTACAAACACTAACACACCTTCTGACAGACATGGGTGTTCTGCCCTGCTGCTCTTTCCTAGCTTTGATCAGTTCCTCTGCTCTCTTCATCTCATCCTCCATGGCTTGCATTTCTTCTACTTCTTGCCGCTTTCTTTCCTGTTAGTTGAAAATTAACATGCAACATATTTATTTTGCAGACTCATGACATCAGTATTGATCATATACAAAGTCTACACTGAATTAATAAATCAACTAATCAAGAACTCAAATCACTGCACTTTTTCTTCTTAGCGTTCACAGGCTGTAAACTCTGGTGCAAAGTTCTGGTTGTCTGACCAATTCTGGACTCTAGTATTGTTCTGGAACCTGGCGCACACATTCATTTTACAATCTAACTTGTATGCCGACTGATAGTTCCTCACTTCTAAAGCTAAGAGTTATAGTATTAGACTTGGAATATTCCCACAAGCGTTCTGTTCCACTCTACAGTAGCTTTATGCTTACAGTCTGTACGCTGATGGTTCAGTGTGTGTTGGAATCTTTCCCACTGTATCACACGTTCTGTTCCCAGCATTGACAACTAGTGTAGTCAGTTGCACATTTGTGAGCTGACTAAGACTGTGTTGTCGTTCAGATGATGCAAGGATTTGCAGTCTAAAGTTAGATAAGAGTTAGACAATATGTTGAATTATTTAGAATGATGTAGAAATGATAGAATAATAAAGGTAAAAGTAACAGAGCTCAACATGTTGTATCTACATCAGACATTCTCGTGTGGATTGTAACCACATTCTGATACAGTTTGTTCATGTTGTCGTCATGGCCGTGATTGTAGTGTTAATGTGCTTTGAGTGTGTCAACAATGAACTATGTGACAGCACTCATAACTCTTGGTACTTATCAAGCTCAGGGAGTCGGAGGCGAATATGAGAAGTACAAGTGAGCACATACGTCAGTGCAAGTTGAATTACCTTTATACACACGTACTCTGACCTTGCCATCCGCCTTTCGACCCCTGAAAATTGTGTTAATTATATTTTCACACTGCGGCTCAAACCCTTTACCATGGCGATCCCGATTTTTAAAACGTTGGCCCCTGACAAAACTTAGCTGAAAAGCTCAGCTGTAAAGAACATGCATCTAATTTTTTTTTTTTTAAGTGAAGAAAAGACTACAGAAGTCTAGATTGTTGATCTAACTCCTTACACCTAGGAAAATCTCCAGAATTATGAACAAAACTAACAGGATATGAAGTGAGCTACTAGTCCTCCCACAAATTCCATCAGAAACTGTTTGTTTCTGTGGCTACTAATATAGCCCTGAATAGTTATTAGTGATTAGAAAAGATTATCATTACAGCACTCCGGACAGATCCATAGGTTCTCCAATCTCCTCAAAAGCACCACAAGTGTAAAACGTCTGATGACGCCTGTACTGTGTTGGTTAATGAAACGTCTTGTCCCTTTTGAAATGTTCATTTCTTGCAGCTCCACGCTGCACCCCTATATCCATCAGTCTAGACAGGGATATGGAGTCATGTCCTTTGGCGTGCTCCTAGGTATGGTAAGTGCAGCGCATGACATTGATAACATCACTTCTGTCTAGTACTGGGCCTGCCAGAGCAACCACAGTGTCAGCAAGATAATCTGCACGCTAGTTTCCTTGATCACCCGCATGACCTGGCACAAAGATGAAGGTAAGGGTAGCTATTTGTGACGTGCTTAGTGTTGCAATCCATTCCTGCCTGATAAATCCGGCTTGGATTTTTTTAAGCATATTCATCAAGTCACTAAGAATGCATTTGTGTGTGAACTTTTGAGTACCAAGCCAGGTTAATGTCCTTGTTACCGCCATAGTTTCCATAGCCCTTAATGACATCATAAATGTCTAAGGAGTTACAATGCACATCATCATTAATCTATTTTTTTTTTTTTTTAACGTATCCAGAAACCATGAGTTGTAAACCCTTTGGCTCGGTACTATGGATATCGCAACCCTTCGGCATTGATTCCATTATAGGTACCGTTAATCTGGGAGAAATGTGGCTTTTCTGCCTACCCCCGGGAGTGAACCCGGACCACAAGGAGTTCGTCACCCGGCCGCCGCGAAAGTCAGGTTTAACCAACTTCGCTAGAGAGCCGGGCTTCATTAATCTATAAAAGAATAATTGTAAAAGAAGACACCTGAGCTTGACGCCTGTACTGCATGACTGCCCTAACCACTCCTGGCAGAGGTTGAAGATCTGCCCAACGGAGCTGTATTACAAGACGCACTGTTCTGTCAGTGACCCAGAAAGTCCTAAGTGTTTAGCATGGCTGATGTAAAAGGTAAAGTCGGGAGATGTGAACCAGCCTCATTGCACACGGTTATAAACCATAAATGCTCTGCCACCAGTACTGACAGCTGATAAGAAACTGTCCAACTGTGTCACCGTCCGCACAAAACTCTGTAGCTACAGAGACGTTCCTCCATTTACCCCAGAGTGTTAACTCTGGTACACAATACCTAGAAGATGGGTAAACCCCGGGAACCGCCCGGTTTCGAACACTGGCCGTGGGCTGCAACGAGTCCCAGCTGGATTTGAAAGTGTCAAAGACACAAGAAGTGATAGATGAAAATAAAAGAACTCTCTTACACAGCAGATAGTGCTAGACTTATATTTTTATAGACCAATTGCCACTCAGTGGGTAATGTAGCTAACATTACACCAGCCGCTTTGACTTCCCAGAACTTTACCTGGTACCCATTTGAGGCTGGGACATCCTGGCAGCTAAGGCGGAATATGAACTCACAACCTTGGGATCTGCAGGCGAGCATCTAACAGATGACAATAATGACCACAAACACTCACTTGTCTAGACTTGGAAGCATCTTTGATACTGTAAAACATAGGGCCGAGCTCTGCCAGCCAGTGGCCATCAACTGCTGTTACACATTGCATATATTCCTGTTCACAAAAGAAACCATGGTATAAATATGACTCACATATGTTAACATTATATTTTTTTTTTAAAAGTAAAGATCCCTTTACACGCCCTTAGGCACATCGGGCATATGGGAAGAGCACCCATATTTTTACAGACCAATCGGCACTGAGTGGGTAATGTGGTCAGCATTACGCCAGCCGTCTTTACTTTCCCAGGACATCCCATCCTGGTACCCATTTGAGGCTGGGTTGACCTGCGACGTCCCATACCACGATAAAAATCCACGCAGCCTGTTAACATTATAACCATGACATAACATAACTCCCATAAGTCAGCAAAATCAATATGATATATTACGACTCACATAAGTTAGCAAATAAACACAGCATAACATGACTCACATAAATTAACATAACTCCCATAAGTTAACAAGGTCCTATTCACATTTTGCGGCCCATCTACATGCTTTCTCAGTCTGGTCTACGTTAGAGGGGTGTCACATTGTACTGTTTTCTTCCAAAGGAGTCTCTCGTGGGACCTAGGCTCAGGCTGTGGGTAGAGGGGTTTGAGTTAGGGCCAGTTCTATATGTTCTGGGGTATTTAAAAGTTGTGTCATTGCGCTGATATAATTGGAGGAAAGATAACGTGACACCCCTCTGACGTAGTACAGTCTGAAAAAGCATGAATGAAAGGTCAGCCAGTGTGTAGATGGGAAAGGAAACGTGAATAGGACCATTAGCAAAATAAACTAGGTACAAAATGTTTCCCATAAGTCTGCAAAAGAAACATGGTATAACAAGATTTGAAGCATTTTTCTTCTTCCTCTTCTGTTCACTTGTAATTAAATTATATATATCTGCAATGCTGTCTCTAGTATGAACTTCACTGTCTTTTGTAATTCACTTAGCGACCCGTAAAGTTTGGCTTCCACCAGTGTCTCTCTTGGGCAGAAGTTTTGCTTGAAAGTGTTGCATTTACGACAGACTTGGAGGATGTGATCTGTTGTCTCAGATGCCAGTCCATGGTTGATTAACCTAGCGGCCCATAAAGTCTGGCTTCCACCAGTGTGTCTCTCTTGGTCAGGAGTTTTGCTTTGAAATGTGATATTTGGGGCAGTCTTGGAGGATGTGATCAAGCATTATTTGACTGAAAGAGTTAATCGAGGAAAGGATTCCCAAAAAATGCACTTGGCCCAGAGGTGCCACTAAACCGGCATCGCTGTCTGTTACATATCCCTGAGAACTGGCACTGCTTAACTGGCCAGTGCCCAACAAGACAAGGTAACAGTAATGATTCTGTCTGCACAAGCCTAGTGTTTGAGAACCTCAGATATGATTTTATAACTACTTGTAGTCTGGTAGTCTTAGTTTCAGCTTCATAGCAAACGGGTCACCCCATCTTTGCTCCGCTCCTGTGCCAACGGGAAAAAAAAACAGAATGTTTATCACAGACCCTTGTGGAAAGATTGACAGACTGCTGTCTCAGCATATCTAGCATACATTCGCATTAAAGCAACTAAAATGACTACTAAAAATTGAATGATTATTTTCAAAAACAAGGCTGCTGTAGCCATGTGGATGTCATAACTTTCTTAAAACCTTCTTCGGGGCCATGTTGTGAGTCGCTGAATGAAATTTTTTCACCAGTCTCTGCTCCAAGTGTGTTTACTAGTTACTTCCCTTGATATTTATATATCTACACACAAAAATGTAAAATGCATAAAAATAAATTTTTGATAAATAGGTGCCTACTTATTTTAAGGATACTCCCCCCGTGGAATTACCAGATTTTGGACGTGGTCTTTAAAGGGTTTCTGGTGTGACAGGGGTAGGCGAACATCTATAAGAAATACATTTTTTTTTAAAAACTGTACTCACTTTTGAGGTCATGACAAGCTCATGGTAGACGATGTAGTCAGGTGTGTAGCCCATGCCAAAGAGGGCGCTAGTAGGATGAAGGTGGCAAGGCATGCCTGTACGTGTGTTCACATATTCTCCCAAACCCTGAAATATGTTCATAAATCTTTTTCATGCCATGCATACATTTACAGTTTTGCTGAAAACAGCATAAAATAAATGTATTAGCTATATATAGACACGCATACACACACACATACACACAATTATCAGGGTGTTTTTTTTTTTAACAACAGTGATGCCTCAGTAAATGAGTGACCTAGCTATACTAAAATTTTGTGGCTGTACTAAAAATTGGTGGCTGTACTAAAAATTGTTGGATGTTCTAAAAATTGGTGGCTGTACTAAAATTTTGTGGCTGTACTAAAAATTGGTGGCTGTACTAAAAATTGGTGGCTGTACTAAAAATTGGTGGCTGTACTAAAAATTGGTGGCTGTACAAAAAATTGGTGGATGTACTAAAAATTGGTGGCTGTACTAAAAATTGGTGGATGTACTAAAAATTGGTGGCTGTACTAAAAATTGGTGGCTGTACTAAAAATTGGTGGCTGTACTAAAAATTGGTGGCTGTACTAAAAATTGGTGGCTGTACTAAAAATTGGTGGATGTACTAAAAATTGGTGGTCAGCAAAGATAGTCTGAGCTGTTTTTGGCTTCGCCTAATCAACATGGACTCGCTAACAAATATTTCAGATGATGCATGTAGTAAGATAACATGGTGGTGTTGTGAGCTGAATTTTCTCACCAATCAGCTTCCAGAGAGTCATAGAAAGAAACGCTTTTCCAACTAGTGTCATTGAGGTGCATACTATGTGTGGCTGTGAATTTGAAAGAAGACAAAAACAAAAAGGGAAGAATGCCGACAGGCAACATTTTACAAATGCTGCATTAATGGAACATTTTTCAATCTTCAATGCTGCATTACTGGTAGAGTTTCAATCTTGGGCTACAAAGAAGGATCACAACAAAGCTGAAATGAACCAACTTTTTGGCTTGGTTGAAGACAAGTGTCTGAATTACCCTAAAGCCTTATGAAGAAAAAAAATAGAAGTTTAATCAACTTCAGACATATTTTTGCAATTCTCCTCCAGCAAAGAGACAGAGGTCAGCTAATTTAACCCAAAAAAAATTTAAAAGGTGAGTTTTACCTAGAATAAACTTTGACAATTTGGACAAGGACTTGTATCAACAAACTGTGTAAATTTAAAACGTTGTGAGTTTTTTTATTTTTTTAAATTCTACTTAACAATTCTCTTATATTCAATTATGAAGCTCTCCAACTTAACCTATGGTGAGTTTTTTGCCCTTTGATAGTGTGCTTTTTATTTTTACTATTTTATAAAACTTGAAAGTCGAGTCAAGTCGATCATTCGATAGGTGATGTGATGAACATCACCCTGGCCAAATTTACTTCCTAGGTCTTTATTTGAAACCCAAGGGAGCTGCGTGGTCTCGAGGCATGGTGTCTGCCTCAAGTCCTAGAGGTCCCGGGTTCAGGAATCGGTGATGGCTGGAATTTTTTCAAGTTGACTTCTAGTAATTTCCCCTGGTCTCTGGGTCGTGAGATTGGACGCCCTTGAGCATTGTTGCACACATAAAAAAAATCCCTTGGCAGTTGGAAATCAAAAAGGGGAAGTCTTACGGCACAACCTGAGCAAAATTTTAAGTTAAAAATCTACCCAAAATATTTGAGGATCCTCGCTGGTGCTACGGAGCTTATGCACTGCACTGAGCTACTTCAGACTCAGACTTAAGTAGAACAGAGCACTTATGGGTTACTACCCTTGCACCGTGATGTTGATCCATGGTTCGAATCCAAAAACCTATTTAAAACCAATTTCAGACTGGCTGAGCTGGTGTCAAGGTCATTGCTTATTTTTTTAAAAATATATATATATATCAATGTGGATTTGAACCCTAGACCTTCAGGCAGGGAGGTGAGCATCTAGCCACTACACTAATGCAGCTCACCGCTTCTGGTCTAAATAAGTTTAACATTTACTGGCTGCTTTCTTCTTCTTTGCCTTCAGCAGCCGTAAACCCAGAGGGGAATTGGTCTACTTCTGGACTACAGTCTCCTTCCAGAACTTGAGTGTTGTGTGCACATTCGTTTCACAGATCTTCTTATTTGAATGCAGACTGTTGGTTCCTAACCACTCGGGCAGATGTGCTCCGACTTTAAAAGAGATGCATATAATTAGTCGAATTTTATTACATGTTTGTTATGGGGGCAATGGGTCTACCCCCCCCCCCCCCCCCCCCCAAAAAAAATTTGAACTTGAAACCCACATATGGAAAACTGAAGAGTTTGAAACAACATAGTCAAAAGACTGCATACCTTCAACCTGGCAGCTTGGTGAAAGTAAGCAGAGCAGATGCACTTCCTAATGACGTCCCATTCTGCCCCACAAGAGACCAGTTCCATTTTCTGCTGCTCCACAATCTCTCTCAGCTGTGACTGGACTTCTCTGACCTGGGGGTATAAAAGATAGGGATACACTATAGCAAAACACATGGTCAACTTTTGTTGTTGTTGTTGTTGAAAGGAGTGGAACGGAACGGAACATGAAAACCTGTGTTCTTACTCATAATGGATCATCACAGGTTACATCTGGCTGGTGCAGCAGCCATTACGGGTGCCCTAATTGCAACTTCTCAGAAGGTTGAACAGGGCATCTGATACCTGCCTTGTTGGTCTGCCATCCAGATTGAGGTCTTTTAAATCTCAGGACTGCAACCTTTAGTTAGCAGCAAACCAACTGATCGATTGATTTATGAAAACTTGGCCCCAAGCACATACTGAGATTTTGGCCTTGCATTGGTTTCCATGGTGGTATCGAGAGACTGTTCAGAAAGCAATGGCAAACTCGGGAATATAAATTTGCCTAGAAAATCCGCAACAGCCAACAAATGTTGGTTGGTTTTACAGAGGACACGCAACCAACTTATATTATTATGTCGATTATTGAGTCAAGCATTTATGACCTATAGTGCCTCTTTTAAACTCCTTCATACATAAGAATGTGTTGTTTATATGCTCAAATTCTTGCAGTAGAAGGATTTAAAGTAACAAGTGATGTGACTAAAAAAGTTTAAAGACATAAAACCATACAGGAGCAAAGAGCTGAAGGTAAGAGCAAGAGATGACAGTGATACAAGTGGGATAACAAGATCAGTGATTAGTGAGGACCAATATCATAGCACTCCAGACAGATCCAACGGGGCTCCAGTCTCCTACTCAATAGCTCCACAAGAGCAGAACCACTGATTGCACCTGTTCTGTGTTCATTATTCAAACGTCTTGTGCCTATGGTGAAATGTTCATGTCTGGTTGTCCCAGGTGTTGAATGTTGAATTAAGAATCAACATCCCAGCACTCGGGACACTCCCATAAGTGCTCAGTCCCCCATCTTCAGCAGCAAGCGAAGAGTTCCAATTCCGATGGTACCAGTAACCATCTGACTGTTTATTCCGGCTCATCCTTCCCCTGAGTGTTGAGCGTCAGACAGATCTTCTGGTAACTCTTCTATCCAGTTAATAGTAACATTCTTCATCCAGTTATGTCTCTGAAGAATTGGAAGGCGGGGGAAGGGGGAGAAGAAGGGGGGTTGTGAGGATTTGTGAGGATCTTTTGTGGGTTCTTTCTAATGCATTGTATAAATTAATTTTAATTTCTCTAGGGCTGTTATTGACCCTATCATTTAAAATGTTATGTGGTCTTCCTCTTACATGCATCTCGCATGGCATTAACGACATTACTTTACACAAACATGATTGCGCAACATGGGAGTAAAGTCTGGTGAAGCATGTCTATGCCACTTTCGAGGCCGAGATAGGAGACATAATAAGCAACCTCTCATGGGAACAATTAGCATAAGTGCCGTGGAGTGGTTGCTGCATGAGAGGACTGAGCACCTCTGGTAATGCCTAATATGCAGTGACGTTGATTGATCATGTCTCAGAAACTGAAAGGTATTTGCCACATCACTATGGACAGGGGTTAAACAGTAGCAAAGGGAATGGTACTGGGTAAGATGGGTAGGAGTCAACCAACACAAAGATGGGTAGACAACACAAGAGATAACGTGGCAGAACAGTGCATGAGGCAGGACAGCTAGTATTACAGGCAGGCTGTGATGGGAGTTGTGTTATGTAAGGGAGCTGCCACACGATGATGAAGATGATGATGATGATGATGAGAATACATTTTTTGTTTAAATATTGTCATTAGTATTTTTTTTTAATTTTCATTTTTAATTACCTTTCTCATAGCTTTAGCATGTATAAAATGTTCATTACACCAAGTTGACGAATATCTGGAAAACAAATTCAATAATTTTATAAATTTCTTTTCAAAAAAAAGGAAAAAAAAAAACGACTATTTAAATATCTGAAAATATACAGTCTAAACAATTTTATAAACATCTGTTGCAGTTGTTGTTATTGATCCAGCGGCGCATTAGCTTTCGCCCTTTGGCCCAATGCCATGTAGTAGAATTTATATGTTTTCACAAGCTGTTCTTTTCCTCCGTACAAGGTGTTCTACCTGTCTGGTATTGGAGGGAGTAGCATTCTTCTAGTCTCGTTGAGTTTTGGGCACTCAAAGAGATGATGGTCAACAGTTTCGTAGGGGTAGTTACATAGCTGGCACTCTGGGGAGTGTTGTGGCTGTTATAATTATGGCTTCTGTTCATGCTGTTATTTAAGTGTGAGTTTCTTAGCATTAGTGGTTCTAGTCTCCTTTGTCTGTTAAGCCAGGTTTTCTGTATGTTGTTTGTAGGGTCGTCATCTTAGTGGAGACTGGTTACTTTAGTGCTTGCATGTTAAAGGTAAAGGTAAAGTCGGGAGATTTGAACCAGCGTCATTGCACACGGTTATAAACCATAAGTGCTCTGCCACCATAAGTGCTCTGATACGAACTGTCCGCCTGTGTCGCCGTTCGCACATAACTCTGCAGCTACAGCGACGTTCCTCCATTTACCCCAGAGTGTCAACTCTGGTACCCATTTCCTAGAGGCTGGGTAAACCCCGGGAACCGCCCGGTTTCGAACACCGACCGTGGCTGCAGCAAGTCGCAGCTGGATTTGAAAGCGAGCCTCTTATCGACTAATGCGACTTGCCGGATTATAAGGTCTCTGCCATTGGTTGCTGTCTTCTGTTCCATTTTCCTAGTGTGTCTGCTATTGTGATTGCTCTATTGAATCAGGTGGTTCATTCCATTGTTTGATATGTCTGTGATTTCCACTATGGCACTAACAAGAAGAAACTCAGTTGTTGTCTTGATCTTTCTCTGGCAATCGCACCATTTGCTTTATTCTGTCTTCATCCATGTCTCTATATGAGATACTCCATGCCATCATCCTACTGCTAGCTTGGAAATACTCCCTCTGTAATACTTCCGTTGGATTAATGCTGCTTTGCAGAACCTGTAAGCCGCCATTTGATGCCGTTCTTCATGCCACTTATCCAGAGTCTGTCTTGATCACTTCCCCAGGTCATTCATAATTCTTTTTTGTTGGGGGGCAGGGCATTGCTATGCCCCTCTCACCTGATCTTGGTTATGGCTTTATAGCTTGCATCTCATTAGATTTTGTTTTTTTTTTGTCTGGTGGAAGAAAGAGCTTAAGAAACAACTACCTGGAACTGATTTGATAAAAAGTTTTTTTTAAATTCTAATTTATTCTCCATGAAAGACGATCTGAAAAAGAAAAATATTTTTAAATAAAAAGGCAAAAACTGAATACATACCCATTTCTTTTCCACTGCTGGTAAACATTGAGGAATGTGAGATGGTCACTCTCTGGCACCATGAACTTCTCCCTTGCTGCATCAGAATCCTCCTCTCTCCCCTTGGGTCTGTAGAATATGGCTGGAACTGACAGCATGGACACTATCGTCTGCCAGAATACAAGAACAAAGACAGGACAGTTAACTCTTCATTTTTCTCAGAAGTTACACGGAAACAAACACTTCTGGTTAGCACCTTTCTGCCTTTCCAGGCGATAATGTTAAGATTCTTACTGTTTCTTCTAGCAAGAATTCAATGTACTGCTCGCTTGCTAGGTCCGTCGCAGTTTAAGGGAGTAATTAACCTGATGGTTCCCATCCCACCTGGCGAACCATAGCCCAAGGATCACCCCGATGCCTCTTCAAAACCTGATGCTGAAAGGCAGAACAGGATTAGAGGAGTAGAAGGAGGAGGAGAAGAAGAAGAAGAAGAGAAGAAGAAGAAGAAGAAAAGAAGAAGAAAAAGAAGAAGTAGACGAAGAAGAAGGGGAGAAGGAGGAAGAAGAAAAAGAAGTAAAAGAAGAAGAAGAAAAAGAAGAAAAAAAGAAGAAGAGGAGGAGAAGAAGAAGAGGAGGAAGAGGAAGAAGAAAAAGAAGAAGAGAACAAAGAAGAAGAAAGAAACAGAAGAAGAAGAGGAGGAGGAGGAATAAGAAGTCAGAGAAGGTGGAGGAGGAGAAGGAGAAGAAAAAGAAGAGTTATGCTGTGTGCATTCAGGCATGGCAATCTCAGCCGATTATGTCCAGGGATTAAGCTCTCTGATCCAGAAGCTTCTGCAGCATGTTTTGTTTCAAATGCTTTAGTGTAAATAAACATAGCAGGCCGGGAGAGAAAACAGGATGCATCAACACCCCATGGTCAACAAGCCAAATTAGTTTCAATAGCTACTGCAGCACTCGTCCTATCTAACTATAGTCCAATGTCAGAGGTCAACCATTGTGACCCTTCACCTAGCTATTACGCCTGCTAAAGAAAACAATGCCACGTAGACAAGATATTTTTCTAGCACACACTGCCATCATCACGTAACGCGGACAGAAACAGTGTGTAGCTGCATTTCAGCTATGTAGACTCGTTAAATAAACAAGCCGGTCGTGGGAGGGGGAGTCTGTTTATCCGCATGCACTAAGCTGTATCTGACATGCTCAGCAACACTTGATGTGGTCGGTATTCAATTATAAAACATCAAAACGAAGTGCTTACAAGGCACTGTTATCGGTGCATTGATGACAGCGATGAGTGGGAGTTAGGTTATAAAATGGGGAGGGGTGGGGGTTGTTAGTAAGGAGGGCAAAACTACAAAAAGAGGTTGGAAGTAAAGACAGTAACTGTAGAAGAGAGACTCAAGTGTTAGGAAGGAAAAAAAAAGAAGAAAAAGAAATCCCTTCGCCACGAAGACCCACCCTGCCTCCCTCCCCCCCCCCCTCCTTTTTCCCTACAAATAAATACATGCATACTTGTTTGCCCCCAGCTTCAGGATAATGTGTGTACAGGAGCTTCCACAGGTCAACAAGAGGCCCGGCACGAACATCGGACAGAGTATACACACAACGACTGTACACACCGACAACTTCCACTTCACAAGGACTCCAAGCTTGTCTTTCAGGATTCCCTTCTGCACTGGCATTCCAGACATGCTCATTAACTATCAACGTCGTTGAGATCAACATGTCCGTCTCTTTTTTCTTCTTGTTCTTCGACTTGCTCCACAAAAAGGTGGTTGGCAAGTTGTGTTGTGGCGGCTTACGACTAGACTGATATCTGCAACTTTCGGACCATCACCCGATTTCAGCAAATTCTTAATTAGGAGTCTTTTACGACTTGCTTGCTAGCCCTTTGAGTACCAGGCAGATGTTACTAAAGATCCCCTAGATGGCGGAGTTAATATTCGAAACTAATAGTAGTAGTAGAAGAAGTAGAAGAAGAAGAAGAAGAAGAAGAAGAAGAAGAAGAAGAAGAAGAAGAAGAAGAAGAAGAAAGAAGAAGAAGAAGAAGAAGAAGAAGAAAGAAGAAGAAGAAGAGAAGAAGAAGAAGAAGAAGAGAAGAAGAAGAAGAAGAAGAAGAAGAAGAAGAAGAAGAAGAAGAAGAAGAAGAAGAAGAAGGAGCAGGAGCAGCAGGATGAGGAGGAGCAAAAGGAGAAGCAGAAGACGAAGACGAAGACAAGGATGAAGAAAAGAAGCACTTACGAAGACAATGATGAAGAAGAAGACGAAGAAGAAGAATGTATGGAAGAATTCAGAAGAGATAAGGAAGAAGGGAGACGAAAATAATTACGAAGAAGAAGAAGAAGAATTAAGAAACAGAAATAAAGAAGAAGAAGAAAGGAGGAGGAGAAGAAGGAGAAGAAAAAGAAGAAGAAAAATCAAAATTGCATATGCAATAAACAATACAGGAGAAGGAAAGCAAGAAAAGGAGGCGAACAAGAATAAGAAGGCGAACGAGGAGGAGAAGAAAATAAGAAGCACAATCAAATCTGCATATGCAATAAAAAAAATACACACAACATTAAAAGCTGTTACAGTATGAAGTCACTCACATGTAAAGGCTGTCTGTAGACGTTTACCTAATTGTATGTATGGCCTAGATTCATTACGAGATAAGGCTCCAGGGATAGAATAATTACGATCCGTTTTAACATTACAAACACAGAATATTGAAAACGCGTAATGCGGGCGATGATCAAATGAACCAGGCCCCAATGTCTTTATTCTAAATGTATGGAAGTTATGTTGCAGTGATTCTCAAGAAATAAGAATGGGTTTTTTCCTGAATTTTCGTCCCAAAAAAAACAGCTCAATGCAAGTGTTTCCAAACCTTAAATTTTTATGCCACGCTCCACCTAAGCCGTCCTAATGTTCTCATGCACCCCCTGTAAAGTTAGTTGCGTATCCTTTACAGGACGTTGCAGAACCAACCGAAGCAGCCCCTTTTTTTTTTTTTTTTTTGTTTGTTTAGGCAACACGTCCAAGTTTGTCCATTGCTAGGTCGGTCGGCTAGACTGATACCACTGTAAGAAACCAACGCAAGGCGCATGGCCCCGCATGGGATACGCCTTGAAGCGTTGCCATTTTAGGGATGTCTCTCCCCCTATATTGGGGAGGGGCTCCCTACCCCACGAAATCTTGACTTTCCTTGGGGGGGGGGGGGGGGGGGGGGGGGGGGGGGGGGGGGGGGGGGGGGGGGGGGGGGGGGGGGGGGGGGGGGGGGGGGGGGGGGGTGCGGTAATAAATAAATATGCATTTATTCAAATACGAACGGGGGGGGGGGCTCTAATATATTAAAATCTTGGTTTGTTATTTAAATAAATAAATATGCATTTTTTCAAATACGAAACTTACATTTATTCTAATATATTATGTTTGTAATTCAATACGCCTGACGTTTATTTCAGCGGAGTTAACAATCTACCCAAAGTATTTCAGAATCCTCGCCGGTGCTAGAGAGTCTGAGCTTCTTCGGACTCAGACTTGAGTTAGAAGAAGAACAGAGCACTTATGGGTTACTACCTCTGTGCCATGATGTTGATCTCAAACCTCAGCGGACGGAAGGTCGGACGAACGAAATGTGACCGTCTGCATGACGGTCTTATCTATCTATGGTTTATATTTGGGGTAGCACTTATACTTAAGTGAGGATATTTATTCAGAAAATCTCTGCCTCGAAGTGACTGAACATGTAAATCAACGGGAAAACTGACAGGCATGCTAGCAACATGTCACGATGTACTGGTTAATATCCTTCCTTCGAAGTAGGAGAGGCGAGAAACCAACCGTCTGTATTTAAAAAAAAAACTAGATCTGTAAAACGGATGTGCATGCAAAACTAAAGATCTCGAACCGGAACTTTCCATCAGAGTTTACAGCCGGTAAATGCAAAGACGAAGAAGAGAGGCTGGTTTATATAGATTTTTGTGGCCACAATTATCATAAGCTGAGAAGCCCTGAATAGATTCCAGAGCAATCTCCCGCCAAGTGCCTCCATCTAGATCCAAACTACAGACAACAAACGCTTGGTCAATAAACAGGAAGACGTCTGATCTCTCTCTCTCTCTCTCTCCCTCTCTCTCACACACACACACACACACACACAAACTCTCTCTCTCTTTCTCTCTCTCTCTCTCTCAGGTGTGAGCATACATGAGCTAACACATTTACACTAAGACTTAACTACACACCCCGCGCATACATACAGACGTTGTTTTAGACAGATCCACAAAACCAAGGCTCTTCTACAAGTTATCTCCCCTATCTTTCCTCGAGCAACCGTTGACAGGTCACATGCATGTATATGGCGCACTGGACCTATTTCTTTTTAACTTCTAAGTATACATATACGTATTGGTGCTACCTCTCCTTTGGGGTAAACAAAGTCGAGCCAAGTGGGGATTATACTCCATGGGGAACATGACCCCTACAATACTGCACAGGCATTGTGCAATGGAGAGGAGGAACTTCATTTCTGACCTCAAATGGCTGACCTTTCTGTGAGACAATAATACATGATAATAACATAATATATAGCATGAAATACTGAAATTCTTCGGTTGTTGAAGTCGTCCCCTTGGTAGATGCAATTTTTCGTAATTTGAAGCCCCATTCTGGCTTTTGCCGGGGACCCTGAAAATAGCTGGGCCACAAATGTGGCCATAATGGCTAAAAGGTGTTTCTGGGATCTCTCCACGGGTGATCCTCATCCGCATCTTGGCACTGTGTGTCATCGGGTGTTTATCGCTTGAGAGATGTCCTGGTGGGATGGGTACAACAAGCAAGCAAGCAATAAATACTAAAAGGGGCGGAATATAAATGTAAATGAAAGCGTTCGAAACATGGTGAACGTGTTCGACTTTCGTGGCAATGTGACGCCGGGTTCAAATTACGGGCACGCAGCCTATCATAGAAGCTCTCCTCCGGCGACAGTTAGTCCATAGAGAATTACTGTGGGCTGCAGGGTGAAGGTGCGTCACGCGGTGGTACAGCATGAAACCAGGGCTCATAATGATTCAGACATATCGACACCTATTCGCGGTCATCCTAGAGCAACATTAAAATTGATCTAATTTTTATTTCACTGTACAAATTGAATAAAGCGGGTGATAGTACACATCCCTGTCTAA